GGGCCTCGTCACTTCGATGTAAACGTGCTGTGTGTTGTTTCCTTTTTCTTCGGAGGACAGTCCTCAGATATTTGCTGCTCTTGTCCATCCGTTTGTCCACCTGTCCGGCCATCTCTTTCAAGGGCAAAACTTCCCAGGTTTTGAGCAGCATATCTCAACAACTGGCCACGGTGGTTTACCACCACAGTTCTAAAATCTAAAAGATGGATTGCCATCACATGAACCTTTCCATTTTGGGCACTCCAGCTCTCTTAAATCCAAAATGTCAACGATATTTTTTCTTCTTTCACCTCATCTTCAGGATTGCTTTTTTTTTTTTTTATCAACATGCATCATGAGGTGCAAACGAATGCTGCGTTTTCAAGCAGCTGGTGTTGTTGTTGAGTCTCAGTTTCAACAGCTGAGGGACGTAGGAATATCTCATTGTGTAAGGGTGTGTCATTTCATGTTTATTTAGCTCATTTGCCAACAACTCTTAAAGTGTGTATGAAGTGAGAGAAACACTACAATAATAGGTGTGTGTGTGTGTGTGTGTGTGTGTGTGTGTGCGTGTGTGTGTGTGTGTGTGTGTGTGTGTGTGTGCGTGTGTGTGTGTGTGTGTGTGTGTGTGTGTGTGCGTGTGTGTGTGTGTGTGTGTGTGTGTGTGTGTGTTAATGAGCTGTATGTTATGAACATACGGATGCAGCCCTGGTGCTGATGCTTGAGTTATGACCTCATTTGTATGGATTCCAGGGTGGTCCTTTCATAGCCTGTTAGACACTTCCACACACACACACACACAGAAGACACACTTTCTCCTCCCTCTCCGCACAGCCAGACTTTGTCACACATTAATAACAAGCATGAAGAGAGTGTGTGGACACACACTCAGGCACAGCGAGCATTTTGTTCTCTGTCTTTAACACCCAGGGTTCGAGACATTGACAACACACACTCCCGAACTTTCCCTCTCTCACTCACACACACACACTGAAATGCTTCAACAAAGTAGTAACTCAAACTTTCTCTGGTGTAGCACAGATACACACACCCAGGTGCGGGAACACAGAAATCTAAAATCCCCTCTTTCTGTGTCCTCTCTCTTGCTCAATCTTTCCCTTTTTACGAGACCCACCCACCGCCTGTCGGGAGCAAACACACACACACACACACATACACAATGACAGGATCTCTGTCTGCAGGCTCTGAGGGTCTGATGAAAGTGTTGGGAATGTGTACTGAGAGGCCACTGACACTTCCTCCACTTTCTAGTACTGACGACTCGTCTCAGGCATCTAATGCCGCGGTGAGTGTTCCCTCCAGACGTTTAATGGTCATAAGACTCAGATGACAAGCAGAATGGATGGGCTTTCATCTGCTGTAGTAGTTGTCATAGCTGCGGGCCCCTCACTCAGCTGCTCCCTTCACTGCCTCTAATGTCCCACTAATTAAAAGCTTCAAAATGACGCGCAGTTTTGGATGATGTCCTCAGTCGTCCAGGTCATGGTTTTTCTAAGTGCGAAACGAAGGCCACTGGACTTGGTTGAGGTTCTTGAAGACTTTTCAGCTCACATTCAAAAGTCCCAGGCTACCACCACACAAGTACATTGTAGTTTTAAAACGCACATCTCTTTTGTTACGTTTACGTCTGGTGTCCGCACTACTCCAGAGCTTTGGGGTGCCTAAAACGGAGACTTTTGGAAACGCTGCTGACCCCGTTTCAGTTTGAAAACTCTGGCGTTGTGTTGTAGTCTAGACGGACAAAAACCTTTGGAGACCTTTGGAAAAAATGACATCCACGGTTGCTCCCTGGTTGGGTCGTATCAGCCTCGACTACCAGTGGTGAATGGCAACATGGATAACAAATTACAAGCGTTACTGACCTTGTTGTCTTTGCTGTAGCAGCTGTTGTGTGAGTTAAATTCTGCATTTTAACCCGACAGCTGTCTTTGCTGTTCCTCATTCGTATTGTACGTAACATTGGGCACGATCGTACTAATGCAGAGAAAACAATCTGCTTCCTGTTTACACCGGCTCGCACATGCCCAGCGTATGTGTATGATCATGTATGTATGCGTTTTCAGGTGTGTTAGTGTGGACTGAGATGCTTTACTGTGCATCGTGACAAATTATTCTGGACCTCGCTTCATGCACAGATTTGTTCCAAGTTTCTTCTGAAGTTGCTGTGAGATGACTCTTCAGCAGTCTGACTCAGACAAATCAAGTGGGTTTTTCCAAAGTTACAGTCTTGTTAGTAAAGAGTTCCTTCTTTGTGTCTCATATTAACTTCAGATAAACTTTGGATTGCTACTGTCGAGTTTGTCCCCCATCACTTCCTTTGGAAGCACTTTAGGACATGATCTCTGACGGGGCAATAAATACAGGAGCAATGATTACAGCAAACTAAACCTGTTTCAAAGTACATACAGTGTGAGCACTCCTATTCTGCTGTTCAGAGAGAGACTTGAAAAATTGTGAACATGTTTTGGAATGAGGCTTAATAATTTGAGTGGTTAAAATGATGGACTCAGGTCCTAAGTCAAATATAAACAAATGGTAAAACATGTAATGGAAAAATATGGCCCTATTATAATGATTACTGGCCAGCGGCTGTCTCGTAGAAATCAATCTGGTAGATACATCTGGCTTGTCTGAAGCAGTACAGTATTAGCAATGATTCAATATAGCTAATACAATGTACCACTGCTATTTCAGTGAATGAAATAACATTTTACAGCCACTCCAAGCAAACACGGCTGCAGATGGAGCACCATATCTGCCCCCCTCAGGAAATTGAAGATATAAACAGAGTCCAGAAAACCGTTTATTTAATTGATTAGGGTTTCCTTTATTCTATCACTGGGCTAATACACACCCGTTTTGGCTGAGGAATATAAGGATCTGGCACACTGCCAACACTGGGAGCCAGCCTGCTGTACAGTTGATGGGCACTGTAGTTGCTTTTGGCTTGGATTAAGATTAAAAATGGGCTAAATATAGAATTTATAGCACAGTGTGCTATGGAACAAAAGCCCAGTGAGGAACTAAATTATGGGTTATAGCTATCCGCAAAACTAACCCTCTGCATTATGTAACATGTCTCGTAAATTACAGCTATCAAAACAGTATATTACCAATGAGATTTAGTGGTCCTTTGCAGTTGGGGTGCAGGAGTTGAAAAATATTTTTTGACAATCTTCAGCTTTCATACAGTAGCTTTCAACACCGCCTCATGTCCCGGGAGGATCCCTTATTTTTCATGTGAATATTTGAGAGGTGAAGGTGGTGAACGTTTCAAATTAGTCCAAGAGGGAAAAAAAAAAAAAAACTCTCTCATGTCTTCATGTTTGCAGTTTAGTTTTGGCAGAGTAGGGATTTTAACTGTGTCACTGCAGAGTTAAAAGACGGTTTAAAGGATTGGAGCAGTCATATTAGAAGGTAAATCAGAAGAAAAGGATTTCCACAAAAACACTGGCCTTTGACCCAGAACCTCTAATACCCGTTCTTTCATTCCTCGTCCCCTTCTTGTTTCTTCAGTTGCTTCCCCCCCTTCTCTCTCTTTGTCTCTAGATCACTTACTCACACACAACTTCACACACAACTTCACACACATACACACACAAACACACACACACACACACACACACACACACACACACACACACACACTCTCTACTCTAGCCCTGAGGTCCTGTTTCCGGTCTGGGGTGTATGAGAGAGAAGAGCCAGCATCTGTGTGGGATTGGAGCTTATTACACACACACACACACACACACACACACACACACACACACACACACACACACACACACACACACACACACACACAGTCTTCCTGTTAGCATTGTTTGTGTTTGTGAGTTGACTTGTAAGCATCATGTTGCTGCTGTTGCTGCTTAGTTTTCCCAGTTTCCTCTGTTGTGTTTTTTTAACACACACACCGACACAGTTGCTCACACATAGTAAGAAAGGATACAGACATACAAACATATACACACCAACTTTGTGTAGTGTTGCTGTAAACTGTGATTTGTAGATAATACAGGTTGTGTCTCTAACAGGCCTTTTTAGACCTTTTGCTCTTATAAAGCTGCTGTTCTTGTCTTAATGAAGGCTTTCCGTATGTGAAATATTCAGGGCACCACACACACATACAGACACACACACACACACACACGCACGAATGACTAATGATCAAGTTGAGTCTAATTCCAAGGGGGATTTTTGTTTTTTCATGTTTCACAAACCAGCTTAAGTCCATGTTTCCTAAAGCACTGATTTGTGTCGAACATTATGAAAGAGGAATATATGCATTTTCCTGAAAAAGAGATTAGCTCATTCTTAACTAAAGGATAAAATGTACACAGGAGAGGGAACACAGAGGTCATTCTGTTTAATACAGAGACAGATTTTGTTTGAGTTTCCCAAATACATGTAATTACATAGTTAAAATACAATTTTGTAAAAGGTACTTTAAGTACACCTTTTGCCATAAAATAGGCATTTTATTGCTGACAGTGAAAGACAGATTCTCACACTGTAATGCACAAATGTGCCTGTACTTACACACACACACACACACACACACAGAGGAAAGATCACCTTTGCTGATATCAGGACAATTCCTGAGAAAATCCCAGAGCACCACAATCTCTTTGGGTTTTCCATTTCATTTACACAGTAATGCAATCATATTGAAATTCTCACGCACTGTAAAGCACTTTGACTGAACTATCTGGTCAGTGCCTTTTTCCATTTCTCATTTTTATCTGATTTTTATGATCTTGTAAACATCACAAATTTGGCTTGTACATATTCACTTGAGGAAAACAAGAATCTATGGGTTGACTTGTATTGTTTTGAGATAGTGAGCAATAATGCATTTGAACAATAAACCTTGCTCTTTAAATAAAATCTCCAGCTGCATGCACCAACAGGGGCTTACAGGAGGAGGAACTCTGCTCATGTGGGAACATCACAAGTCCCAATCCTTGTTAATGTTATGTATTTTCTCCTTTCAGAAAGCACCACTGCCACCATGGATGAGGAACAGTGCTACTACAATGAGACCATCGCCTTCTTCTACAACCGCAGCGGCAAGCACCTTGCTTCTGACTGGAACACCGTCAGCAGGCTGGTGATGGGCCTGGGCATCACTGTGTGCATCTTCATCATGCTCGCCAACCTCCTGGTGATGATCGCCATCTACGTCAACAGGAGATTCCACTTCCCCATCTACTACCTGATGGCCAACCTGGCAGCTGCTGACTTCTTTGCTGGACTGGCCTACTTCTACTTGATGTTCAACACGGGACCAAACACGAGGCGTCTGACTGTTTCCACGTGGCTGCTCCGCCAAGGCCTAATTGACACCAGCCTGACGGCGTCTGTGGCCAACTTGCTTGCCATCGCCATCGAGCGCCACATCACCGTGTTCCGCATGCAGCTACACACACGTATGAGCAACCGACGTGTGGTTGTGGTGATTGTCATAATCTGGACCATGTCCATAGTAATGGGGGCCATCCCCAGTGTGGGCTGGAACTGTATCTGTAGTATTAGTACTTGTTCCAACATGGCACCGCTTTACAGCAACTCCTACCTGGTCTTCTGGGCAGTGTTTAACCTGGTGACGTTTGTTGTCATGGTGACGCTGTATGCCCACATCTTTGTGTATGTGCGGCAGAGGACCATGAGGATGTCACGGCACAGCTCTGGACCACGGCGTAACCGAGATACCATGATGTCTCTGCTGAAAACCGTGGTGATTGTGTTGGGTAAGGAAGAGACATAATGTGTCCTGTCTGTCTGTCTGTCTGTCTGTCTGTCTGTCTATCTATCTATCTATCTATCTATCTATCTATCTATCTATCTATCTATCTATCTATCTATCTATCTATCTATCTATCTTATTGCATTATAGCTACCCACATGTCTAGATAGTTGTCTATATGTCTTGCTTTTAAGCTATCGATAACTGTCTAGCTGTTTATTGCTATGTACTTATCTATCTGAACATTTATGCTGCCTCTATCTCTATCCAGGAGGTGGGAAAGGCTGAGAGCTTATGGGCATGTTGAGTTACATGTATAATTGTTTTTGTGCTTTAAACTACACAAATCAAAAGCGTAATGGATGGAAAATGTTCATTAACGCAAGATGGATACTTCCTGGTTAGCTCAGAGTGCATAAGTGGCTGTTAGCTCCAGCTGTCCGGCCATAGCCATGGATAAGGCTGTGGATGGTTTTGCATTAAAACTGCAATAACAAAAAAAGGCAACAGCGTTTTTCATTTTTCCATAAAACCATGCCTCTGTGCTCCTCTTGTGCAGTAAACAGCAGGATTTTCATGCTAATGTTACTTTTTTAACGGTTTTAAATACTAAATGTTACGTGAAAGGGGGCAACTGTGCTTTTCACCTGTGCTGCAGGTTGACATTTTGGAACACTCACTGTTCATTGTTTGCTACCCGTGGAGCTATCTTTGTCTTGCTTGTGTCAGCAATGACCACTGCTACTAGCTTCCATTTCTTTTTGGGATATGAGTCATTTTAGCTTGCCAGAGCTAACATACTGTATGTCTATCAAAGGTGGCAGGTGTAAAAAAAAATTGCAAACACATTTACCTCTAAACAGTAATTTTACTGGTTTTGAGAAAAATGCTATCTTGACATTGTGGCTACGAGTTTTCTACCCACCTGCTATGAAAGCATCTTTGCTTGTTTTTTAAATGGGTGACCCATCTATCTGTGAAGCAGTGAGTGCGATATCTGAAGTCATCAGCAGCAACAGAACAATGAATCTGTTCATGGGTCTCTAGAGTCCAAGCACTGTGTCTGCCTAGCACGACTGCAAGCCTCACATACATCATCTCATCCTGTTCTCTGCAAACTACATTAATTTGATGTGATTCTGCCTGAGCAGTTTATGATGCAGGGCTGTTCAGTGCGTCATGAATATGTTCTGTTATATTTATGACTGAAGGCACCATTGCATCTCTGTTATGTTTCATTTTGCTGATGCCTAATAGACACATATGAGTATAGAAGATACAGTTGTTCCAGCTGAAGAGGTGGAATAGATAGATTGCTGTCATAGCACTTAGATATGATTTGTTAATTACAATGTGGAAGATCATGAAAGGTAAAACTCCAAAGCTCACTTAAATGCAATGCTAAACATGCCATACAACATTTTATTAGAACTGTTATAGTATAGTTTTTACTCCATTTCTCACTAAAAGCAAAATCACTTCCTTTATTTCTAGCAGAAAATGAAAGTGGAAATTGTTTTCAGTCTTGACAAAGACCTAATTTGGTGGAAAATCATTTGAAGAGCATTTAAAAAAGGTTTAGAGGAAAGTGAGAGCAAACCATTCTGTCTTGGCTTGTTCATGATAGCACTGTATAAATATTATTATCAGATTTCAGTTGAACTTAAACTGATAACTGGGGAAAAAAAGATTGATATCAGCCTCCTAACTCTGTTCATCATTTACACTTCTAATGTGGGAATTATAAACAAGCCCCAACATGTCACTTTTTCTTGCCAGTGTCAAGAATTCTGAAATATTCCCAGCCAATCCACACGTTTTCATAATCCAGGATCATCCTTCAATGTAGTATTGTAGTGGGGTTTTTTTTGTTTTGTTTTTTCGCCAGTTAATACATTAATGCGATAGTAACAGCGTCTGTTTTAACTTCAAGCTGAGCTGTGTGTGTAGTTCGACTAAGCGTTTGGTAGAGATATGTTTCCCACTTCGCAAGTCTCCAGGCAACTTCACTGGTATGTGATGAATAGAAGCATTGCTTCGGACTGACTAAAACACAGTAGCAGACTAACTTCGCTGTGTGTAATGTTAAGTTTTAACTGTGGGAAAAGGACTTCTTAGTGCCTGGAAGCAGGAAGTGTTGGTCCTAGACAAAACATACCAAAGGATTCCATGTGATTTGTCTCCTATGTGCTGTGTTATCTCATCCTGTTGCCTTTGTTGTCTTTACTCCACACTTAATTTAAATCAGTGGACAGCAGAATGTGGTCTGCAGTTTGTATAAAACTGAAGAACGTACATTTTCTGCTGCTCAGAGATGCTTTGTCTGTTTGTACTTATTTAACCTAATCCAAACCCTAATCTGCATTAACAACACAATGTCACACTTCCACTGTATTTCTCCAGCGTTTTATGGTTAAGTCCAATCGTGTCATTGCAGCTGTTCCTGCCTTGTTGGAATCATTGTTCCGACAGAGAAAAGCCTCATCCCAAAGCAGCGGAAATTATCTATCTCAATCTATTTAAATAGTTTCGCAATATCAGGTTCTGCCAGTAAAAGTCTGCCTTGTCCTCAGTGACATGACCGTCTAAGCTTATAAAGCATTTACAAATGTTTTACTGAAACATTTAGTGACTGTGATTAAAGGAAAGTTTTAGAATCAAAGCATTGGTTCATTGATTACTGAGGGACATGTTTCGCATATTCGCTACATTATATCAGCTTTGTTTGAATGTGTAGCAGTCAAGAAAACATCATGATGTGTTCTCACTGAGCTATAAAGGCAGGTGAAGGGATAGTTTCTTTGCCATTGGTAAGAACAGTTTTACTATTCTTATTACAGCACAACAAATCTCGCTATTATTATTTCGAATCATTGTTGTTTCAGATTCCTGAACAAATCACATTTGTTTCTTTTTATTGATGCCAGGCCCATACTGGGAAAGTGTGTCTTTTGAGTGAGGGTATAATGTGTTTTAGTTCAGTCTGGAATCCACTGCTGTTTCAGAATGAGGTCATTTCTAAGCACTGAGGAGGATATTAAATACCACATTTTTTGTTGCACTGATAGAAGGGAGGTACTTTCAGTCCAATCACTTGCATCCCTTGGACACTTCTTTTCCCATTTTTTTAAAAAGAAAAATCCCTCTTTATCTGTTCCTTTGTTACTCTGGCCAATGTAAAACAAAAAAGGCATTTTGTTTCCAGTGAGGTTAAACCTGCCATTGAGTTCTGGGTTTTGATTATGTTTCTCTACTTAGGGAAAGGTTGAGATGAGTTCAGCCTTTGCTGTTTGACCAGAAAGTAAATCCCACAGCAATACCCTTTCCAGCTCTCCCCATCTGCTGACCAGATGATGATAGCTGCTCCCCTGCTGCCTACTGTCCTCTCCACTTGTCCCTCTCAGGATGCTGTAAACCCAGCTATGGGTGATTTCTTCCCAGAAGAACAGGATGAGGTTTTGGGGGGAAAAAAGTTGGTTACACCCACTTGCACGCTTACGTACGCACACACATAGACTGTCTCTCATTCATATGAATCCCCAGGCTTAATAAAGAACAGTGGGATAAAAGGTTGGCTCTATTCACATAAACTCTGATTGGACCAGACCACAATCTGGCTTTTACTTTATTTGTTTTCTCAAAGATAATAGAGATAAGGACACAAACACACACACACACACACACACACACACACACACACACACACATATATACAAAACCTCCTGCCAATGCCTTAAAGGTATCCTGTGGAGGTTTTTGACCACTAGTAGCGCTATGGACCAAACTTTTTACAAGTGGGTCCCCATTTTATGAGTTATTGTGCACAAAAATACACAGTCCTACTGATATACAGTCAGGGGTACTGAACCAAGAATAGCAACAAGACGCCATAGTGAGATTTATTTATTTTTATTTACACTGTGGCCCCTATTTTAACAATCTAAAGCACATGGAGCATGTAGATTTAGGGTGTGTCCAAATCAACTTTTGTTAGTTAAACAGCAGTGCCAGGCGCATGGTTCAAAAGGGTTGCACTTAGTCTCTAAATTAATTATGAGTGTGTTTTGGGCATAATATTCAATAAACCAATTAGAGTGCTGTCTCCTATTCCCTTTAAAAGCCAGGTGCACCTGCACCTTGGCAGATTGCTCTGTTGATGGTGGATTTGCTGGGTAGTAAGAAAGAATGCTTCTCTGCAGTCCACAGCAACAACAGGATTCCACCAAACAGGCCCGGGCGCAACGCTGCCTTTTGCACCCTCAGTGATAGAAATAAATCAGGATGCACCCTTGAAATAACAGGGAAATACTGCACCATTGACTGCAGACCGGGTTTTTGTTAGTAAATCGCGCAATCACTTTCTGCTGCCTCAAGATAGTAATGCGCCAACAATGCTAAAACCACACCTCATTTCAAGACCAACACACCCATGGGCGCTCAGATGGGCACAAATGTATTTGCTATTTAAACAATGCGGGCCCTGGATGGGAAAATGACAACTGCATTGGTCTGAAACCGGCAAAGACACTTGCGTTGCACTGGGTGTATATTTGCACCCAGTGTTTCAGTTCTGCAAGAGAAAAGGGAGAAAACCTTTCCCACTACAACTATTCAAATAAATCAGCCAAGACAGCCAATTTCAGTCTATTGCAGATATATATATATCAGTATCGGTGTATACGATGACTGATGAGTAACAAGAAATTGCAGTACAGATTTTCCATTACATAGTTTGTCAAAAAAGAACAGCACACAACTGCTTTCCTCAACTTTTCAATGGGGAGCTTCCAGAACTGTCTCGCATACAGTGGATATAGTGGATGAGACTAGTTGTATGGTGCTACTCCTTGTAATTCAATAATGTGGAAAAATCTCCACTTAGTAAAACACTTGTGTTATAACTGCTATTTATTTTGTGGAATACTGATTCTGACTTGAAGTAAATATTGTTGCATTTAGGTGTTGTTGCTATTTATTCATCTACCAAAAACTGTGAGCTGAAAC